ACAGGAAACAGGAGCTAAGATGCCAGAGATGATTTTAACAGGGGTATTTCCATTCTTGGTGTTGTAACAATGTGATTATTTTAAAACACTGTTTTTGTGGAATTTTTCACATCTGCTGGATTGTTTTCAGAAAAGCAGAAGGATAAAACTCCAGTTGTGTGATTTTGCACCGGTTCACACAAGAAGTCTCTTTGTTTAATAAAGTTCTGCACCACATGGGTTTTATTATTTTGTGAATGTGTTCATGGAGGATGTCCTACCCTATTTCAAATGCAGATGCACAATATTGAGCCTCTTCCACTGTCATCTTTACAGTCTTCATGCCAAAATCTATGCACTGATTTTGTCAATCTAGTGGTGGAAAAGAGTGACCTAGCCAGTCACTCCTGTTGGGAGGAATTTGCAATGTCAAGAAGCCAGCATAGTCTCTTCCCACAGCTATTATCAGTCCTTGTTCAGCCTGGAAGGTACTCAGGACAATGTACACACTAGTGAATTAAACAGCAACAGGAATTTCCATGTCTGGGAATCGCTGGATTGCAGTGTTGTGTTACCAGATTTGATGGGTTATACAACTACGTTAGCAGAATGGTCCTGAGAATGCCTTTAGCCCATGACAAGGAGCTATCTCCCCAACTTTTCTTGAGTACTACTTGAAAGTTAGTGCAAGCCAGGGATCAATCACAACAGACAGTTTTGCAAGCAGACGCCCTGCTATGGAGGCTGAGAGAGTTTAATTAACGTTAACATAGTCAGATGATAACTTTGGGCTGGAGAATACACGCTGGCACTGTTTTGGTTTTTAGTATCAGTTTAACCAGAGAGCAGGGGGTGAGGTGTGGGAAGCATGCTGTTCTCCACTGCTACTGCTGTGCTGCTCAAGGAAGCTATTTGATAATGAAAATTAACATGGCACTGCAGATGGTCTAATTCCTGCTAGGACTGTGTGGTTTGGCCCAAAGACCAAAGGGGCTGTTGCCCTTTGGTGTAGGAATGAATCTGGTCATACTAAGAAATGTACATTGTATTGAGTTCTTTTAATTTATGAAGAATTTATGTCTTTCTTCATTGGTATCCGACTATTACACCAGTGTGGAGCACTGCTTTGTATAATTCCTTTTGTTGCCTCATATTTTTAAATCTGAACTGATCACTGTCAGTTTTTATTTCCTTTGGATGCTGAAGCAGAACTAACTGCCAAATAGGGAAATTTTGCTACTGATTCACCAAAATTAAGAACTGTGGGCTTTTTCACACACCACTCAGTGATTCTCTGCATGTTTTGTCCTTGTGTGATTTTTTTTGGTTCTGAGCACAAAACAGTATTTTAATAATTTAAACTAAGTAGGAGAAAAAACAGTTTTAATAAAAAAACCCCACTTTTATTAAAAACTGCTTCAGAAAGCAGTAGGGTATAATGTACGAAACTTAATGCAAAATTTCATGGGGAAGATGAAAGATCTGACTGAAGAGTGTGTTTCTTACTTTCCCTTTAGAAAACTGTTACTTTATTTAAAGCCCTCCCTTCGGCTCACAAGGTTTTCAGTTGGACTGTGGCTGCAAACTGTTGTCAGTCTAAATTGCTTCCTCAGAATCGACTCAGTCACCCTCAGGCCATGGACTAGCCTCTCAAACTAAAGTCATAGACAGATTTTTTTCTCAAGGATTTCTAATTAGAGTAAACTGAGCTGCTTTCTGCTTTCTTTAAACACTACTCATGAAACTGGGACCCAGATGTAAGATACTTTCCTTCAGTTAGGTTTCATTCTAGTTCATGATGCTCTCGCACAGAAGTTGTGTTTTACCTCTGCCAAGGGAGTGCAACCAGCATTCTCTCAAGTGGTACACAGCCCTATTTTGCAAAATGCAGCTCTTAATGCTCCTAACGAAGCTGGAGATGAGAGCTGCTACCTTGCAAGGTTGTCATGAGGAAGGACAGCAGTCCCTGGGTCTCAGAGGAAAGGGAGGACCGAGACTGGGGATGGTGTTTCACACAGAGTGGAGCTCAGCTTGTCTCTGTGTGAGGCAGTGTGTTCTACTGCTAGGATGCCAGCTCCTACCAGAGAAGCAGAATATTGCCTACCAAACCACAGCTTTGTGGCAGGCAGTGGCTTGCAGCTCTTGCCAAGTTTTGGTTAAATCTGGGAGCTCATTGAGTGGGAGAGAGAGAGAAAGACTCAGCAAAGACAAGAAACCATTAAGTATACTCCAAATTGCAGCTTTTGAGTTTCCAGAAGGTTTCTCACTTGTAAGACAAATTACAACATACTACCTATTTTATAATAGGTGACAAAAGTCTCTGACAGAAGACATTTTGTCTTGAGCATCTGCTAAGCAAGAAGCTTTCAATTATCAGCAGCAATGGAAAGACGACTAATTTTCATAAACATTTCTGAGAAAAAAAATGCACATTCCATATGACTTACTGAATATGAAATGATAATTTTGAGGAACAGGAACACACACACATGTATTTTTACAGCAGCTGCTATATTTTGAAGGATCTTTGAAATTAATATGTAAGTTAACAGTTTATTTGTAAAGTATTACAACACTCAGCCAGCAGAGATTACATGCAATAACTTTGCAGAGAAAAGACTGCAGAGATTTCATACAAAAACAAGGAAGTTTCAACCTTGATGTAAAAAACCTCTTGGCTTTAACCTTGGAACTGAGACCATGCTGCTGTTTGTTTCTCAGAAGCTTTTGTGGTCATTCTTAGTTGCTTTGTGCTCTTAGCAGGCCAAGTTCCACAAAACTTGTGAAAACAACATAAAATAAGAATGACAAAACTTGGCTTTCTTTTATATCATGACCGTTACAAGAGATGATGTAAAGGAGCTTAAAATGAGTGTATGTATCATAGTTTCTAAGTGCTTTATTCTGACCAAAATGGATTAAAATGGCCATGCCATAAAGGAAAATTAAGTCCCTAAAGGAAACCTTAGGGATTTAAATTTTATATGTGTGTGTATATATACACACATGTAAAATAAATGTATTTTAAACCTTAGTGCTGGCTTTTTCCTGTTCAGTAGCAAAATGAATGCTTAGGAAATACATATTAAGAATATAACTCCGTAGTCTCCAAATGGTAAGGTCCTTGGTAAATACAGATATGAACAAACCAGTATAGTTGTATGACTATTACACTTTATTGGGTAAATGTACATGTTACAAAGTAAGCAAACATTCCTAACACAACACAAGAAATACTTTTTTCAAGATTTTTCCTACTGTGAACATTAGCTCATGATGCCGTATTTCTCAAACAACTTGTGCACTTATTCCAAAAGAATAACATTATCTGATTACCTGGTGGGTGGGTTCTAGTTTGAAGGCATGCCAGAATTTTACTAAAATGCTTATTAAAATACATTAAAAAACCACGGTCTCAGGTGTTGAAAAACTATGTGATACAAACCCAACCCAAGTTCATAAACAATAAAACGCATCAGATGATAGTTCATTAAAGCTAATAATTTCAGTGGTTGATGCATAAAACTAAAAAATCACAAGTCATAATCATCAAGTATCAACATGCATTTTTTTGTTGTAAGACATGGTTTACATACACTAGGAACATGTACAAGGACATACAAATTCATATAGCAGATTTTGATTTGTTTGCTCTATTGTTGTGCTACTGGTATCTGTATCCAGTATAAAAGAATTTCAAATAAATGCTTTCCTAACCCCACCTGCTTGTTATACATTAATGGCAGGTAATGTCTGGTTAAAATGTAATGTCTGTTAAAATGTATTTTGTATTTCATTAGCTTGTGTGTGGAGAGCCAGAATGTGCAGAAGATACATTCAAACTTGAGTATTGTCTTACTATATTTGGTGCTGATTCTGATGAAAAGAAAATAGCAAGACAGGATTTCAGGTACCCAAATTTTGAAAAACTGGTGGCAAATATTAATGCTGAAGAATGGCCCAGTTTACTGTGACCAGGACTTCTGAGCCAGCCAGAAGTTAAATATTGAACTGGGTTAACTGCTGCTTTGCCAGGCCGCAACGTCTTTTCCTGAAATACTGGTTCTTGGAAGGCTGGTAGGAAAACTGTATCAACATCTTGACTGTTAAGTAAATATGCAGTATTAAAAGTTACATCCTCCTGAAAGAGCTTGAAACACCATAGAGCGTGTGTTTCTCTGTTTGTTCTGTTGGCATATCCCCACTTCTCCAGCTATATGCCTCTGCTTTGACACCTTGCATTCAGTTACATCCGATTTTAACAATTTCAAGGCTAGGAAGAAACAATACATTCCCCTGTCTGATCCCCTGTACGCTGCAGGCTAAATTACCTTAGCCTCAAGCTGCTACTAAGAATTACTACCACTCTTTTTTTAAGAGAGAGAGAGCATAAATATGTACTAAAAGTCTATGAAAAATGACACCAGATACATCTTCAGAGGTTTGAGATGAGAATACAATAAACCTGAATCCTTGACATCTTTATTTTCACATTTTTTTCTTCTATTGGTAAAGTTCATTCTAGTCCAGTAAAAACGTCTTCCTTTAAATCTGGTCTCAGCTGAGCTTACTTACAATTCATTCAGGCCTATCTCCATGATGCAAAGTTAGATGAACATGTAATAAGAACTGAATAAAGGAACAGAAAAACATGATTCAATTGTTCAATTCCTGACATATACTTAACTAAAGTATATTTACAGACAAAATTTACTTTATTGCGCAAACTGCTCCAAATTGTTTAAACTCCTTTTCCTTTGTTTTTCAGTGACTTCAGAGAAAAGAGCAATAGCAACATTTAATGATTCACTAGATACAACCCAGATGACAATACATCTTCTGTGAATCTGTAAGTGTGTCAACTACCCAATGTTACTTAGCTCATGTCTGATATACAAATAGAAACTCATTGCATCAAAACAAGCCTTGTTGATCTTTCAATGTTGGTAATGCTATTCCACAGTCCAGAGAAAAATACCAGTTCCAAAACAGAAGTTTCCTCTATTGGGTGGTTTCTTTTTTTACTTGGTTTCAAAAAGAAGAAACCCAGCAAAGGTAGAGAAGCGTTGATGGTCCCCGTGGAGGGCTCCATTTCCCATTCGCAGCCAAACTTCATCTCCCTTGGCAAGTTTTAGCACTGCACTGTTTCCTGAAGTGTCTGCTTTCCCTTTTGATTCATAGCTAAGGATGAATATTTTAACAAGTCAGCTTTTTGTTTCTCAAAAATGATCAAGCAAACAACTTTAAAATAAAAGAATCCAAGAAAGCACATTGTTATCCTGAGCAAAACTTCCTTGAAGAGCTTGCCAACATCTTTTCAGCTTTATGAGGAAATTTGGGCATCTTTCTGCATTTGATCTCCTAGTCAAATTTTGCACCTTACCTAACTGCATAATTTCATTCCTTTCTGAAATTCTGGAAGTTTAACTTACGTATTTTTTTCCAGGGCACAGGAACAAATTTGTTCTTTAAAATAAAACTCTGCTCATTCATCACAACACTCCAGATTTCCTGTGATGTTCTTTTTTCCTTGGGTTCATCCCAGCTAATTTTAAATGCCTCCATGTCAGGAGTCTCATGTGAGCTGTGCCCCAGTGCTCCCCGCACAGGCAGTGGGCAGAGACAGGCGGCTTACTCTATCCTGAGGCCTTTTGTTGGAATGTAGGTGTGTTCGATGTGGGCTAACCTGCTGGCTTTACGTGAGTGTTGGTTCCCTTTCTTCCACCTGTTGCCTTTTCTGACATCAGTGCTTCAGGGGAAAAAAATTCAGAACTTTTTCTTTTGCAGGAAAGACCTGTTGGGAGTGAAGCACCCTTTGGTGGTGCTTCAGGTACTGGCTGTTGAAGAAACCTTGACAACTTAAATGAACCTGCTATCATCTAAGTGCCTAAAAACCAGTGTGATCAATCTAAGCTTTTGTGTCTGTTTATTCAGGCTCAGGAGAGAAGCTTGGTTTTGGCATCAGACCCCGGGTTGGTATTAAAGAAATAATATTTTTTTCCGAACATATTTTTTTCAGCTATCCATCTGCCTACAAGCTTCTTGACCTGGTCCTTATAGAAGTTGGTAAGCTAGAAGTGAGTCCTGTTCTTGATGATCCTTCAGCTAACATAAAGAGTTCAGGAACTTTTTATTCCAAGTGTGCTAATGATAACAAAGCCTGTAAATGGAGGACCTTTGCTTCTTACTTATCCTTACTACTGCAGTTCAAGTGTTCTCCACCTTTAAAGTAAATTTCTCTCCCCTAATCCTTAACAAAACTTTTACTAGTCTGACAGGCAAAATGAGGATGAAGATATGTTTTAGCAGAATGACAGCATGTTACCACTGGACTCCAACCCTGACTTGCCATGTTAATTCCTTTCCCCTGAGCTTGTGATCAAGGCTGAATTTTCGGTCCAGGATCTGTGGCAGGTATGATCCAAATTTGCAAGTTGAGGAGGACAAAATACAATAGTTTTTCTTTGTTGGTTATTTTACCCTACAGAATTCCTTCAAAAAATGAACAATTTCATGTTTCTTGAAATGCGAGCAAGCTATCACATCTGTGCAAACATGTCTTTTGCATTAAAATGTCTTTCACTTACCTATATAAGCTGAAAACTGTATTACCATTATGCATCAGGTACACGTACACTTCCTCCACATCTTCATGTTTCATCATATTGAAGGTGAAGAAATACACCCCTGAAAAGATTACCAAATACAACGTGTTTGCTTCATAGAGGGAGGTAGTCATGCTACAGACTTGTGCTTCTTGCTTAGAAAACATAACAACTGAGGCCAAAATGACCTTCCAGTTGTCAGTGGGTATTTTACTTCTGCTTATAGTGTGCCAAAATCTGATAAATTTTTATTCTGCATATGGCAGGGGGTCAGCCACAGCCTGATCCAGAAAAATGTCTGGTTTTGAACATGGCAGGACCGCTCATCCCTTCCTTCTCACTAAAAGGGGAATTTCCCAGAGGCTGAGTCTAGTGACCCCTCTCTCACCTTTTTTTCCTTACCTTCTTGCTCCTGCCTTCTCCCAAAAAGGCAGCCTCCAGGCCAGCCAGGGCTCAGCCTCAGAGGCTGTCAGACAGACTGCATGTCTCCCAGGTCAGGCAGGGTACGAGTCATTTTAGCAGCACCCACTGCTGCTCACCTGGCCATACCGCATCCTGAACAATGCGGACATAGCCACCACTTTCTCTTCTTGCACAACACACCCTTACCATCACCCTTTTTCTTTTTAGCTCTTTCTCTGTCTGAAAGATGCCAACAGTGTTGTCAGTGCAACCATGTTATGTATCATGAGTTCTGCAAGACTCTCCCAGGTGGGAAGACAAGCTCCTGGTTCCTGAACAGTAAGTCTGTAGCATTGACCCTGCAATGGGAGTTTGGAGTTTGCATCAAAGTCATTAAATCATTGTGGTTCAAAGTTTATTGACATCCACATATACATTAACCTCAAGAGGAAGCAGCTGTGAGGACGCCCCCCCTTAACTGTCAGTAAGATGTGTTACAGCAAGCTTGGATGGCCTGACTTTTATTTAATTTAATATAATCTCCTACAGCAGTGAGTAAATAAATGGCAGGGTGAGAAAGGCCAAGTGAAGGAAGGTGGTGTCAGGTTTTGCTTAGATGTGTTTTTGGTTATGGCCCTGCCTCCTCCATCTCCTATTGTTCTTCCCATGCCACAGCTGCGTATGATGAGGGATTGATGCAGCTGGAAAATAACTCAGGAAAACCTGTAATGCCTCATTTCCAGCCACACATCTGTTGTAGGCCAGCTCACAGCTGAACTGGCATGAGGGAAGATGGGGATGAGGAGAGTGACTGGCGGCAGGAGGAGGCAACTGTGAAGAAGCTGCTGCTGCTGTTGCTGCAACATCAAGGCCATGGTTATCTCATCACAGTGGCTGAAGGGCTAAAGGTCTCAAAGCAGATGGTCCTGCTCCCTCCCCAGCTCTGGCCATTCCTCTTCCTCCTGCCTTTGTGCCAGCAGTAGTCTCACTGGCTGGCAAGCCCTCTCTTGGCTTGCTCAATTTCCAGTTTCTTTTTTTCTGAAAATAGGTAGCAAGAGCTATGCAGAGCAAGTCTCATCAGTGCCTTGTGCAAGGGCAGTTAACCAGTTTCTCATCGTTATTGACTATACTTCTCCCTGTAGCTCCCAGAATTGCATTATTTTGTTTTGCAAACACTCACCATTCACTGGAGCACCAAATCTCCCAGTCATGACATCAAAAAAATTCCCAACGTTGGTTTCAACACTACTGAAGATGATCCCACTGTTCTGGTTGCTGAAATGAGTAGCCATGGAAGCCATGAATGCAACCTGCAAAAATGAAGTTCCTATTCAGGCAGTGGTTCACAAAATGCACATGTGTAGAGGAAACAGCTATGGAATTTTTCCCTGTATTTGTGGTCTGTTTATTTTCCCAACAGAGATGTTCTTCTAGGGCCTGCTCCAAGGCCATTAAACTCCAGAAACAAAACTCCCATTGAATGAAACTAGAAGAGGACTAGGCTTCTTACATACAATTGGACTATTCATGACTGTAAAAGTAAGTGTATGGGCAAGTGTTTGCAGGTCAGGACCTTCGTTTGGGATTTTATTTACTTTTAAGGCTCTCTAGAATGATGCAACAGAAATCTGGTATTGAAATGGATGGTGACAAAAGTGATTTAATTATTTTTTATGTATTCCCCAATGCATTCAGACTGGATATTGCTTTTAACTGAGTGCGTGTAATAAATAATGCTTGGTAATCCATACACATTAGTGTTTCTTGCTAACTACCTTCAGAGATAGATTAAGCATTTTTATTAGAGGTCCTCTAGAAGTGCAGGTGCTGGGACTCAACATCCAGTGCTTTTTCTCTCTTACCAGTTGCCCTGTACCCTCAGTCACAACAACAGAGGGTGGTGGAGACCAGAAGAGGAAAATAATAAAGTGAAAACTGTGCTTCAACTTCATGTTACACTTCTTGCAGTGAGACATCTTGGCTATGGAAAATGTTTCATAGGAAGCAACACAAAACCTCCCACATTGGACAATTCAAATTACCCTTAGCAAGATACCAGGGAACGACCCTGCCAACTTGCATGGGCAGAAAAGTGGGTTATCTCCTCTGTGAGTCTGTGATCCCCCCATCTGACTGTCAGTAAACAGGGTACAGGCAGAATTGCTGCACCTGGATGCTAGAAGGTCACATAGTGACTTGGCATTTTATCTCTATCTCTTAACTACTTAGATGAGAAGTGTTCAATTACAGTTGTTACAGCCCCTCACAAAAATGACATTTTTTGTGAGATTCCGGCTATGCTGGTATCAAAAAAACCCACCCCAAACTTCTTTTGATTTCAGATCCAAATGCGAACAAAACCAGAACAGGCAAAATCAAATGCAAGTCTGGATCCAACAATGGAAATCATTAGCCATCTGCTCAGAAATTTGAGGAGCTCCAGATGTGAGCTGAAAGCTTGGGCTCATTTTCCTTATCCCTGCATGAACGTGTTTTCTATGATGGCAAATTGTTAACTTCTTGCTTCTCAGCCAGGATCACATCAAAGTTCATCATGTGTTAAAGGAAAGCAGCTGCAATGGCAGCTTGATGGAATTTATTGCTTTTTGTCTAGATTCCATTTCACATTCCCTTTGACGCCAAGCTACTTTTCTTGGGCTGATCAGAAGAGTTAAAAAAGATGTCCTTTCTCCCCAGGTATCATTTCGAAGTAGCAGATCAACATGGACACGCCAAGTCTTTCAAAATAATCCTGTACTTAAAACAGTATTGCATTCAAAAGTTTTTTCTCTTCTACCTACCCCCACTCTAAAATTCTTAAGCATGATGTTAACAAGAAATGGTATGCTATACTGTGTAAGGAATTTTTAAACACATCTGTTAAAAATAGTGATGGAATTTTACTTGGAAATAGGTACTGCAATATGAGCTTTTGTTATTAATCTTCTTTCATTATTCAGTTTTTAATTAAATTACTACCACTACCTTTATGTAAGAAAAAAAATGCTGAAAGCTCATTTTAAAATTGCAAAAGGGTTTATGTTGAAGTTAATTACAACAAATATAGTTTTAAGATATTCAGCTATAATGTTAATTCCAGTTAATTCTTTAAAAATACTAAAATAATTCTGCTTTATTACAAAATTCCAGTAATTTTGGAAGATATTTTCATTGTGAATGTTATTCTGTGCAGTTATCCCGTCTTCATGGTGGAGAATTCAAATATACACAATGCCAAGAAATCCAAACCCATTTTCGCACACTGCACACATTGGTTGTATGGTTGATTTTGCTGTTAATTTGCATGCCTATTATGACATATATATATAAAACATATATGAATGACTGTTATTGGGAAATAGTATCCTTCAGTTAAAAGGTATAGATCTGTAAATAGACCAGAACTTCAGTTTCAACGTAGTCAGAGTGTTTGGAAGTGGGATTTCTTTTTGTGTGTGTTTGCTATATCCTATTTCGTCCCTTCTGTGGTGAACTTGGTGTGAGGGGTACGAATCAGATCAAGACTAAGACACTTCCATTAAAGTGTGTACGTGTGAGTGAGGATGTAAACTCCCTTACAGTTTCTGGAGATCTATATACTCTGTGCTGTCTGCAGTCCCATTTCCCCAAAAGCAGCCGCGATTGTCAGACTAAGCTGAGTTGCTCTTCTAGATCCTCAGTAATTGTAATGGGAGCTTAGATGCTTCCCTCACCTGTAGTCTCTCTGGAGCTGAATCTGACCTCAATCACTTGCCCACGCAAACACACCTAGTGCTATCTGAAGTGCTCTAGGATTCCCCTGCACGGGGCTGGCTGATCTGACCTACAGAAACCCCTTCCACAGTGGCAGCTGGAGACTAGGAGGGATACATCTCAAAGGCTTGTCATGCATCTAAGTCTTGCCTTTAGCACCCTAGCTGCGCTACATCATAGAGATAGTCAAGTCTTCCTGCTATTGCAGATGAACTGGTTGTATATTGCTACACTGCAGTGTACAGTGTGGACAACTCTTTTAAATCCCCTTTGCAACAGCAATCAAGGGTCTTAGTTATCCAAGTCCCTTACTTTCGGTAGTCTTAAGAACAGGACTATACCATGTCTCTGCTGTACTGCAGGTATATATGTGTATACAGATATATACATATATATCTTTTATATATA